AGAATGAAGAGATAGTGATGTGATCATTAAAGGAGAAATAGTGATTCGGAAATTATTTACAATAATAAAACATTTTGGTTTTGTAAACAATGACTGAAGTTTTATCTGGTGGACAGTTTATATAAACGTGAAGAATAAATTGATTTTTATTCTAAAGCATTTCTCTTTTATTTCGAAGTCATGTCTGATTAATTATAAACATTTATATAACTCTCACCGACATAATAAACTTATTTTATTGTCTCTGATAAACGCTGAACCGAAATGAACCAATCTAGTAGTAGACTACTTTACAGATATCACTTTTATGTGTGGGTTAGACAATCAGTGAACTACAGGAACCATACATAAAAAGTTCAGTTGCTTGTCAACTGTTCAAACAACAGATTACCCTGTTTAAAATTCAGAGAATAATTTATAACACGAATGGAAAGAGAGTCACAAAATGAAATGTTATTATATTCTGAACCCTAATTCTGTCTCTTAGGTCACTTCATTCTTTTCATACAGCCTCGAATAGTTGTATAAACTGTTGTCACTAAATTGGTTGAAACTATATGCTATTCAGTAGTTAAACACAGCTGGATGATAAATAAGAATGTTACATGTAGAGATTTCAAAACAAAACACAACAAATTAACGAATCACTTACTTGACTGTCATTTAATTTCATCATCTCCACATTGTTCACGTTTTATGACTCATATTTTTTCATTACACAAAGATCAACATTTGAGCATGAATGGAAAAGCTTTTAATATAGATATAATATAGATTTCGGCTCGGTGGTCTAGTGGTTAAGCGCTCACTCGCGAGACTGATAGATCCTGGGTTCGAATCCCGCAAGGCGGGGTCGTGGATACGCACTGCTGAGGAATCCTTCAATAGGCCATCCAGGGCTTCCAGGTTTTCCATGGTGGTCTAGCTTCAATTGACTCATGATCTCAGCTATTGAAATTACTACAATCTCCAAAAAATCCCTTCTGATATTAATATAGATGTGTTTATTAAGCGTTGTATTCTATTTGATAATTTCAATTTTGATTGAGATCATGAATGGATCAATGTTAGACCACTACTGAAAGTCCGAAAGTAATTAACAGCCATTCAAACAAGTTTGCTTAATGAAACATTGAAATCATTTAAATTTAAATCATTTAGATTAATTTACATTTAATTTTTATGTATAGTACTTTTGTACTTGTTAGAAGTACAAATTCTGCCTACATACTCTCTGATATTAGGCAATGACATATCACTCATTGATTTGACCTTTATTTACTACTACAATTTACATTTATACAATATAAATAACATTATATTTTCTTGTAAGTGATTTTTGCTTTAATGTGATGACATTTCCTCTCTATATGATACAACACACTTTAGTTTCAGTGTAAACTTAAAAAGAAAGTACATATTGAATACAGAATATTCTCAATAATAATTCATTTCACATATTTCTATCAGAATTGAATATATAATTATAGTTCTTAGATTATTTTCCCTTGTTTAAATTTTGTCTAATAAATAGTTATCAGAATGGGTTTTGTGGAGATTTTTAGAAATTTCACAGGTTGAAATCATGAGTCAATTGAAGCTAGACCACCATGGAAAACATGGAATTGACTGATGATTTCAACCTGTGAAATTTCTAAAAATCTCCACAAAACCCATTCTGATAATAATCAACTGATCACTAGTGACTGGCTTCAGGAGATACTTCTGGAGTTCTAGTGAGAAGCCGTTACCAGTGATGTTCAACCAGGTCTGTTATGAGATATCAGCTCACTGAAGACAATGATGCGCAACTTCGTAGATTGGTTGAAGTTAGACATTAACACCGTCGGATGCCGGTTCAGTGGTCTAGTGTTTAAGTGCTCGCGCGCGAAGCCAGTAGGTCCTGGGTTCGGGGTCGTGGATGCGCACTGCTGAGGAGTCCCATACTAGGATGAAACGGCCGTCCAGTGCTTCCAGGTTTTCCATGTTGGTCTAGCTTCAATTGACTCATGATTTCAACCTGTGTAATAAATAGTTGTGGTCTTATTATATCTATAATACTTACTCTAGAAGAACTACAGACGGAGTTATATATATAATAGAATGATCTTAATTTAATTTATTAATATTTTAGGATATTTCAGTGGATTGTGATAAGATTTTTTGAATGATAGTGTTTTTTTAAAAACAAAACTAAAATTGATAAGTGGCATAGATTGCCCAGTGATTATTTATAAGACTAAATTATTTTATACACAATTTATAACTAACATATGTATATAAGCATATAAACTCAACTACTCAAGTATTAGCATTTGAGTTTCAACACAGAAATCAGTTTAAGAATAAATGAAAAAGAAAATTAACTTTAATAAGCAGCCTATCTAGATACGTTTGCATTTTTCTAAGAAATAAAACCGGATGTTCTTTTTTTGTTCCTATTTTTTTCCCCTGGTCAAACATCAATAATCATTCATGTTTCATACTTTAGATTATTTTGTTTTAAAATGTGTCATTTATTTCTCTTCGTCAAGTTAACTCATAATGATTTGTTTTAATTTTGATTAACTTCCGTGCTGTTTTGTTTCTCTCTCTCTCGCTTTCCCTTTTATTTTCCTACTTTTGGCTTACGTATGTCCTTTAAACTAATCTTACTAGAACTAGATATTATTATTTCCTTTCCTATTTTTTTGAGTAAAATTTTTCCCCATATTTTCAAGGTAATAAAGTGAATTAGAATAATTTTGTTCTTACTTACACAGAAGTGTTTACCAGAAAATTGGTCAAAAATGGTAACAAACTGTTTTCTATTTCTTTTCTACTTATATGACTACACGTTTATTCATGGTTAATTAAATGTATTTTGTTGTTGTTTTAAAACAAAGCAAATCATTGGAATTATATTTGATAAGTTTTTATCGATTCCAATGTTTTCAAAAAAAATATTTCAGTATTTGAGATCATGAGTCAATTGAAGCTAGACCACCATGAAAAACCTGGAAACACTGGACGGCCGTTTCATCCTATTGTGGGATTCCTCAGCAGTGCGTATCCACAATCCTACACATGGTACTCAAACCTAGAATCTATCAGTCTCGCACGCGAATGCTCAACCATTAAACCACTGAGCCGGTATCCGACGGTGTTGATATCTAACTTGAACTAATCCACGAAATTGAACCACACATCCACCACTGTCATCAGTGAGTTACTATCTCACAACTGACTTAGTTGGACTCCACTTTTGATTAAGAAATGTCATAGAATCAAAAATTGTATTACTTCCTACTGTGAAGTTAAAAGAACAAGCGTTTAGTACTTTTTTATTTGAAATAAAAAAAGAAGAAAAAAGAAATTAAATCACTAACAAAACAATCTTTTTACATTCAAATTAATATCTCATAAAGGTTAATTAAATCAAGAAAAAGTAGACAAGGCTAGATTACTTTGAGAAAAATGGTATCAATGTAATTAAAGAAGTTCGTTGCTTGAAAGTAACTTTAATTATGATTTATAACTTTGAAATTACTTGTAATTTGTTAACAAAGTAGATAGGATAGTATGATCTTAAATTTAATAAATGTAAGTATAAGAAGTTTGTCAATATGTTCTGATTTGTAATTGGTCTAAAAAACTGGATTTACCTACACAATTATGTTCTTATAAGTTACTAAGTTTGAAAGCGGTCTTCAGTCATATGGAGGGTTAGACGAGTATCACTAACGGTCATGGATTGTGACTTGACCATGTCACCGAATGACTGAATTAGGGAATTCAACTCTTTGATATGAAAGCAACAAGGTTGATGAGATTCTTTAAAGTTTCATGATCAGTCCCTGGAATGATTGTGGGTGTGTATTGTATCTTACTGGAATGAATCATCTATTCAGTTTTCTCTGATTTTTAATGGTCATCTAGCTAAAGTCTGTTTGAGAAATTCCCACGTTCACCATAGGCTTGCCGGCATAACTCAGCTTTATCGTATTTCACTCTGTTGCGGATATTCTGTATGACAATCAACTAGATAGCTATTATTACCATAATTCATAACGATTAATAATTTCCAGAAGACGAAACGAAGTGGTTAGAACATTTAATTTCAACAAGCAAGAAATCACAAAACAGAGATTAGTGAATTAGTGTACGTTAATAAGCAAATGTGTATATATATCCGAATGAGTAATTAAGAGCTCACGCAATTAATATTTCAGCCGATAAGAGACATAAATACGTAGGTTGGTACATTCATTGTATTAAGCATACCCTTTATACATGCATGAAGAAACGCACCAAAATATAGGTGAATTATTATAGACTAAAACAACACTATCTGTCAAATAGATGAGTTTAAAGGTTTAATCAACTTGAACATATAAAAGCTTTTGTAAGGGTAAGGCTACTGTAATTCCTAACATTAAAATTTATAACAAAAAACTATGATGGAAATTTTTGGATTCCTGTCGACTCCATCATTGTACTACATCAAACACGTATTTTAAGATGCTTGAACTTTCCACCGAAAATTGCTGTATTTATATACATAAGCTGAAACCAACTAAACATAATCATTTTCTCATTCTTAACTTAATTAAAGTAAACTTTTTAAATTATTGCAATTCCCTTTAAGTTACATAAGTCAAAAACCTATTGACAACACGATTGTACAACATGTAATTTACAATGAAATAAATAGATATCCATAAAGTTTTTGGTGATGCTCCATGAATAAAATTACCAAAAAAAAAGATAATTCTTAACATACTAAAAATCAATATACTAACACTAATCAATAATAGAGCGACCATTATTTATATTTATCACCAATACCATGATAATAATTATCACTGATATTGATAGTTTTCTTTTTTTTGGAAGAAACAAAGTTACTTATAATAATTGCCTATTTTTCGATATCGATATCCAATTTTGTTTGCTTGGATTTTTAGAAACCAATATTTATTATGTCTTATTTCTAGGATCATTTTTCTTTTCTCTATTCAAGGACATAAAGTGACATATCTTATTAAAATAAATATAAAATTATGGTGAAGCTTTAAGTGTATCATAAATGGTTACTTTTTCACCATAGCTATTTTGTTTCACACGACATACAGCTTAGCTGACATGCACAACAAAAAATTGCCTCAATCATAATATAATCGATTTTAAAGTGGTCAGGATGAATACTATCTTATTTATGTTGTTTATCGATATCTGAATGTTGCTTTGAATAGCAGTTAACAACTGATGAATCCTGAAAGAGAACAAAACATGGGTCCTACATTTCATCGCTAGTTCCTGTTCCAATCATAGTCAAGGTAAAACCATGTAATAAATAGCTGTTTACAAATAAATATTTCTTTATGAATAAAAAAGAAACGATAACTTTGGAAATGAAGACACTATTCATTCACTGGTATTTATGATCAGTATATGGGACATTTTCTATGGATTGTTTATCATACTTCTCGAAGTCCTTTTTATTGGCAAGACCCAGAATATTCTTCGAGACAAGCCCAGAGAGGTCCTGAAAACACCGGGAATTATTTTATACAATCAGTATTGAATAGAAGTTTCTCAGAACCATCTATAAAGTTAATGCTTATGCGTCTTATTTCTGATTAGATGATTGCCTATTTTGCTACTTTGTTTGCTAAGTTTCCAAAACCTTCAAGAAGCCCAAGGTCACCTGAAATGCTGTAAATACCCTGTATACAAATCAACCTTGGAGTAAAGCGTTATTTCCACGTCTCAAGCTTTTTCTCTCGTGTTCAAGTTGTTGTATAGATTTACCGTGAGGTTATTAGAAGATCTTAGGAAACCGATTCAATCGCTCAAACAAATTTGTCACTTTAGATTTCTGATTCTTGTTTAATTTATAGTTTACTTCAAGAGCAATCTATAGTGAGTAACAGTGGATATAATCTTTGTTTTCAAAGTGCAAAAAATAATAATTTCAGTTACTAAATGCTGAAATTTACTGAAACTGATTAGACACGCTGAATAAACCTCGTTCTTATTTGTTGCCATGACATCTGCCTAATTTAATTATACATGGATTGCCCGGTTATAACGTGAACTGAGCATATAATTACACAAATGGTTAATTGCCCTGTATTTAAACATCCATTACATTGAGTTGTTTTTGACCTCTTCTAACTTGTATTTATTCATCCAATAGTTCATAAAAATTCTTTTGAGCACATCACGTGTAGTTATTGGATGTGTTGTGTATCTGCCAAAATATAGTTGACATTCAAATATCTGTTACTGCTATATGATCATATCTAGGTTTTATCCATTGATTGAGGCCTACATTATGTCATCCAGATTTCAAGTATTTTAGTCACATTTAAGTCTAATTAATTGTTGTACAGTCACCATTTGAGGAATGCATACCTGAATGAGTATTATATCTTTAAATAAATGCTCTTTAACTTACTAATTCCGTGAAAAATGAAAATCGATAAAAGATTGGGATACTGAGGGTAAGTTTCATTTATTACATAAATAACATCGGAAAAATACTATCGTATCTTTGAGCTAAAACATTATAGAAATTACGATAATCTAAAAGATTGGTTATTATCTACTATTATATTTCGTTTCTTATCATTATTTAATGAAAAACTAAGGACCAACTTGATAAACCTGATTAAATATTTTAAGTCGTTCACATTTTCAGAAGGGGTATTGTGGAGATTTTAGAAATTCCAATAGTTGAAATCATGAGTCAGTTGAAGCTAGACCACCATGGAAAACCTGGAAACACTGGATGGCCGTTTCGTCCTAGTATGGGACTCATCGGCAGTGCTCATCCACAATCCTGCCCCCCCCCCGTGAGATTCGATATATCAGTTTCGCTCTCGCGAGCGCCTAACCATTAGACTACTGAGCCGACATACGATGGTGTTAATGTCTAACGTCAACCAGTCCACGAAATTGAGCAACACATCCACCATTTCTATAATGCAATGAGAAGACGTAGTTTATCAGAATTATGTGATATAATTCTGATAAACTACGTCTTCTCATTGCATTATCGAAATTTATCAAAGGGACTAATTGTTTTAAACATCCACCATTGTCATCAATGGGCTACTATGTCACAACTGACTCGGTTGAACTCCACTGTTCACTGCCTCCCTCTAGAATTTCAGGAAATCCCTCTTGAAGCCAGTCTGATAGGTCTGGCGGGTCCTGGGTTCGAATCTCGCGGAGGGCGGGATCGTAGATGCGCACTGCTTAGGAGTTTCATCCACATCTGTTTAAAATTAAAAGTTTCATTCAATGAATTCTAATTATCTAATAAAAACTTATTAAGTATAAATATGCTAAAAATCAATACTGTATAGTTTTCTCTATCAGTCATCCACTTTGATCTTTCAAAAAAATAACAAACAAATTGACCTTATTCTTGTTATATGTCACCTTACTTATTGACTGAAAAAATGGAAGAAAAGAAGAGAGAAAACGGTTACAAAGGACTTTTTAACTTATCCGGATGAGAAAAAAATAATCAATTGAACAGTGTGGCTAGAACTTAGTTTATCACATTCGGTCCTCATTAATTACTCATAATCTTTAATACATTATCGTCAAAATAATAAAGCTACAACTATATAATAAAGCACATGAAACAAACATTCAATATTTCATTATCATGAAAAGAATGAATATTTAAAATGTTTCTAAGGAACAAGATAATTTGCTCAACTGAAATTCAACTCAACACAACTGTTTCTCAGTGATATGATGTAATTGATCATCGAATGAAATATCAAGAGTTGTCTAGGGGAATAATTTTTCTTAAAAAATAATGACAATTTGGATAGATTTTAAGATTGTTTTTTTATTTATTGGTAAATGGAATGTTCATTTTCTCTTTTTTTGTTGAGAAAAACATCGAGAAATTTCATGTTTATTTTTTCTAACTGAATATGATAGATTAATTACTTTCAAACTTAGCGGTTAGTGTTTTTTTAGCGGGTTAGTTTTCTACAAAATGGGGTCGCTAACCTCATGCCCATCCCTCCTCCTTTATCCGGGCTTGAAATTGGCAGTAGCCCCAGAGGGGCTTTAGGAGGAGTTACCTTTAAACCGTCATGTTATAATATTATGTAGATTAGATTGTGGTTTAAACAAAATTCAATTCATTGTGTATGCAACATAAAACACCCATTCTTATTAGGTACTTTAAAAAACGAACAAAAATAACTTGTACGAGAACTTGATGACTTGTTTGTATAAAAAAGGCTTAAGTATTTTTTTGTAAAAACAATCACAAGCAAAGTGAAATCTTGCTTTAATTATAAATAAAGTGTCGTAATTTTTACCTTTTATCCCGTTTTTTGAAAACTTTACTAGCAAGCACAAGATAATTATCGGTGAGGGGTTGTAAAGACTGTTGGATTACATTGAAATCATGAATGGACCTAAGTTAGACTGTCGCTCAAAAACTAGTGAATAGCTTCGGGAAGAAATTTCTGGAGTTCTAGTGGGGGGTGTGACCAATGGAACTAAATCGTGCCGGATATGATGCGCTTATTCACCGAAGACAGTAGAAGATGGTCGCGCAATGTTGTGGATTGATTGGAAATACACATTAACTTTGTTGGATACCTACTTAGTGGTTTAGAGGTTAAGTATTCGTTCACAAGGCTTAGAGTCCCGAAATGAACTTTTGCGTGCGAGGTAGTGGATGCGCACTGTTAAGTAGTCCCATACTAGGAAGACAAGGTTGTCTCGTGTTTCCATGTTTTCATTGGTGGTCTAACATCGATCGGTTCATGATTTAAATGATTTCAATCCACACAACCTGTCACTGAAAACTACTTCTATATGGTTTCCGGAACAAATTTTTTTCTGTCTAGTAAGAAACATTCAACCTGAATTTATACGTCATCATTCATATATATGGAGTGTTGTATTCTGTTATTCACTCACCTTAGTATACTCAACCATGCAAAAGTTTAAAACATAACAAAATTAGATCAACTTTTATATGTTTAAAAATATCAGAGCTACTTTTCTGGATTTTTCGATGACTGACGTTTTGACTATGGAACTTTTCAGTGTCATCTTAATACAAATTGTTTATATTAGTTTATCTAATATCATTTCAATAATAATTGACTTAGATTGTTTTAAAAACAATACACTATACTACATTTCTTAAGTTAAATTTCAGATTTGCTGAAGAATACCCTGCAGTTTCTAGTTCATCTAGCCGTAGAAAAATCAAAGAACTGCTTCTATTTAGAGTACTGTTTCCATAAAATACACGCTTAAAGGTCACTATATAAATCTTATTTAATTAATTAACCTAAAGAAGAACGTTCACTGTCCTGGTGAACAATCGTAACCAGTGGAATTCAGTTAAAGTGGGTGTAGAAACGTTAGCATCAGTGGCAGTGATTATTAACTTTGTACCATCACAAACTAACGCTGTACATGTAAATCATCGAAGCTCAAATTAAAGGTCCCACCTTTCAATGGTCCACATAAAGCTTGAAGACCTCGAGTTAGATCGACGATTAGATTTTAGCCATACATTGTTGAATCACATACTCTGACAAAATAGTTGATCTGTTTTACCAGGTCCTTGATAATATATGTAAGCTAAAGCATTGCCAGTAAATAATCGTATTGTGACACAATTATCTACATTTTTTACTTGACTCAACTGGCGACATAGCTCAACTGTCAGTTATTTTCACTGGTAATATCTGTCCCATTTCCTAATTCATTGACTCCATAAGTCAGAATTCTTATTAGAAGTTCAGAAAATGTATTTTACAGCTATTCAGTTAACAGATTAGTGATTAGTTATTCAATTTTATTTTGTATGGAATTCTAGGCAGATACTAAAGATGGCTAATTAAGATGAAACACCTTTGTAGTTATTCCTAGTTTAAAATAGTTTGAAAATTCAATTGGAAATCACTTTTTGAGTTTTAATATTTATTTGATAAGGCAACGAAGCTATTCACTAAATAACTTTTCAAGTTTTACACTTGGTGTTATGACTTTAAGTCCGGCTTTCCATCACGTGATTTATCCACCAATCAAAATACGACTTATACAAATCTTCACACTATGCCAAGCAATGACGTTCGACCGGTATGAGCAGTCTAGCGTCCTTATTGGTTCTATGTCCTCCTAGCCCGTCCACTTGAGTCCAGAACCAGCTTCTGCAATATGAATTGAATCGTTTACTTCAAACATACTCGGTTTATATATCAATCAGACAGACCACAACATACCATAAAATAGAAAATAACATGTGTACACAAATAAGCCAAAAAGTGGCTGGAAC